CAGCATAGTTGTCTCAGAATACATCACGTTACAACATTCAGAGCTCACAGTTATAGGGGCAAAAGGTCAATGAGAACCAAGAGTTGCCTCCATGATTCTTTGATGCTACCTGAGGGTGCGACCGGAAGTTCATCTTCTTCATTTCGGAATCAAAAGGATGTAGTAAACCCAGCAATACTGTGGTGAAGAGTTTTATGCTTCGAATACTGTAGGCATGGAAATGTAATGCAAGCGGTGAAATCGGTTGAAGCCCTACATTCTTAGGCATGGCATTAGTTCTTCACTGGCTTGTATTATCCTTTTTGATTGCTTGGTTTTTGAACTCGGGTCGATCCCAATCGATCCTCTGGCTGCGGTGCTCATGCCTCTTTCATCTGAAGTGGTCCCTCTTGGTTTTTTCTTTCGATTGCGCCTTCTCAACTACCCCTTTTGTTGCAGTAAGGGCGAAGTAAGCGGCTTGGTTGATCTCCAGCTTCCATAGGACCACATGCGCTCGCTTTTGCCTTCAGGCTGGAGTTGTCTCTCTTCGCACACGATTTTTCAAACTCAGTTGATGTGATTCGTCAAGCATCAAAACTCACTGTATCTGTTGGCGCTGCAACAGTTTGTCTTCCAAGGCCATAAAGCCGCCAGCACCGGAAAACACACCTGCTACTAGCACTTTCAGCAAGTCCGCCTGATCATGCACTTGCCTTTGGTCAGTGCTATAATCAAAAAGATTGAAAAATCCTCCGATCACCCCAAACGCACAAATGAAGCCCACGACAAAAGCATCCATCCGCTGAAAATGGTAGACAGGCACATTCGCTGCAATTCTTGCTGATCCCATCTGAACACCCACAGCTGCAAGGCCTCCTCCAAGTCCCCCAATGCAGCTCGTGATGCCCCAAAAAATGCTTTCCGGCGTATGTCCTTGTCCCGTTGCTTTGCTTTCAGCCTCAGCTTTGCAGCTACTATGTTCCTTTCCAGTTTGCTGGGTTTGCAGGGGAGTATCTCCTGTGCAGGAAAACTTCCCTTTGGCTTCCATCGAAATTCTAACCGCACATTCGTGAGCACGTGCGCTCATTCTGGCTGCCAAAAAAAGAGTATGCCATCACACGGGAGGGCCAGCATACTTGCTTTTCTCCCTGCTCTGTGCCGCCTCCTTTTTGCCCCTTTGGGGGTTTCGAATACTTGAACGTTCCGCATGACCTTGCCAGCTTTATCAACGAGTGACTGCAAATCTTGCTCCTCTGGGTTCCCTAGAGTTCGAAATGCCTTATAGATCTGGCCGGTGATGAGATCTACAAAATTCTGTTCCATGTTCCAGGAGTGCTGGATGAACTTGTCCTGGATGCCTTGGTAGAGTTCGTGATGAAGCCACAAGACAAACAACCATGGAGGAATGCTATTCACGACTATCCACCTGCCGCAGCTGCCTTCTTTCTTGATCGCAGTCTTTGCACCAACATCGATCGAATTCCCCGCCACTTGATGCAAAAAAGATGAGGCTTGTTGACGATGACCTTTGGCGCCTCTACGGCCGCCATCACTGGATGCATGAAGATCGAGTCTTCTCGTCCGAATGCCAAAATGACTCCACCGGACCGTGCGGCAAGGAAAGCGCCGGACCGTGCGGCATCCTCTGCCTTGGCAGTCCTGGCATGGCTTTCTATCTCTTCAAGGCGCTTGTTGCTTTGACCTTCAAAACTGCAAGTTCTCATTGTTCAGGCAAAACTCGTGGACTCTTCAGTAGCAATTTGTGCTGTCAGAAGACAAGGTCTGAGGCAAAAAGGGAGCCACAAGAAGAGCCGTGACACAAATTGAGTGTCACTTGTCACAACAAGTATGCATAACTGAGAACCACAGTTGTGACCAAAAGTAATATCTATTTAGCCGGAAAATATGCGTGCGTGTCTTCCTGATCTCTTCTCGCACCACAAGAATCAGAAAGCAATGGAAATAAACATGTTTAAATTGTAGAAGCTACTAGTAACAAGTGCCTTACTAGTAGTAAGAAGAAGCTACTAGTAACAGGTGCATCGCTAGTAGTAACAAGTGAATCGCTACTAGTAACGTCGTCCTAGTAGCTACTAGTAACAAGAAGCTACTATTCATTTAAATAGAATCAAATTGTTTCTACTAGCAAACATTGTTCCTAGTAGTAAGGCACTTGTTCCTAGTAGCGATGCACTTGTTTCTAGTAGCTTCTTGTTACTACCAGTAAGGCACCTGTTACTACTAGCGTGGCACTTGTTTCTACTAGCAACACTCAGGGATCATGTTTCCTTTTTCGGTCCATCGACTCACCGCGGCGAAACTCCGCGCTTCAAATCGGCGGGCGCGACTTCCAGGGGGGGACGAGTGGGGGCGGACCGGGCAGGTCAAGGAAGTGGAGAAAGTGGCCTCCACCCTAGTAGAAACAAGTGCATCGCTACTAGTAACAAGTGCCTTACTAGTAGTAACAAGGAGCTACTAGAAACAAGTGCATCGCTACTAGTAACAAGTGCCTTACTAGTAGTAACAAGAAGCTACTAGAAACAAGTGCATCGCTAGTAGTAACAAGTGCCTCGCTTCTAGTAACAAGTGCCTTACTAGTAGTAACAAGAAGCTACTAGGAACAAATAGCGATGGCCTCCACCCTAGTAGCAATGGACTCCACCCTAATAGCAAGAGGTAGTAGTGAAGTTGTGAAGAGCTGAGTAAAAGCAAAGCTTCCAACCCCAATGTCGCTTGGTGGCAAGGGTGGGATGTATCCCAGCCCCAACCAACGGTGGTGATGTTGGTCTCAAACCCAGAACTAGGACTGAAGGACGTTACTAGTAGAGATGCACTTGTACCTAGTAGCTTCTTGTTACTACTAGTAAGGCACAATTGGGCTGTGTTGAAATACTCCGGAATCACTTTGGTTTCTCTGCCCTCCTTTGGTTTCTGTGCATAGGAATTCGTTTCATTTCATGGGAGTCTGGGAGGGAAGGATATCCAAAAGTAAAAAGTCCGAGGTATTAAATGGAAGCCACCAGTGGTGGACTGGCGTCAACTTTTGACCGTTCTCCAACTTTTGACTACTCCTAATTCCTTGACCCTCCAACCCAAGAGCGATGGCCTCCAACCTAATAGGAATGGCCTCTTACCTAGTAGCGATGGCCTCCTACTCCTGGTTTCCTTGACATGCCCCGCACAAGCAGCCCTCAAATGTGCAAGGCCCCATTCTGTCTCTGTACACGGCCCAAGTTCAGTCGCCCGATTCGTGTTTTCTTCCTCAGGCGTGGCTCTTGTGATGGCAAGTCACCAAAATAGTTTCTTATTTAAAGGAAATCCTTTACCTTATATTATCAAGGTGTCTAAGGAGATGGCAGGAAGAAATAGATACAATCATGATACAATCTGATCAGGGTAACTACGTTGCGATGGCTTCCAACCTAATAGGAATGGGATTCAAAAAATGCCAAAAGCTGAGTCGCAAACATTTACTTCTCGGAAGGACCTCGGACAGAACCCGAACCAAGGCATATAAGCCTCGAGGCTGAGCGTTAAACCGCTCAAAGTCGCCTCCAAGCTTCATTTTGGGTGTTAGCTCCCAAGATACAAGCTCCATGGCCAGTTGAGGCAGTTTCTATGTCCGCAAACGAAGTGAAGGTAGAAATCAAGAATCCACAAGAATCATACACAATCGTAGCTGTGTTTTTTTGGCCTGTGGCAGGTTGATGCCCGAGACGGCCAGTCATTGATCGTTTTCTTTAGCCCTTTTTGTGTTTTTTGTCTAGACCTGACATTTGGACCTTGTGTTTTTCCCTGCTGTTCATTCCTTCGTTCTGTCTTTAAGGCCTTTTTCTTCTTTAAACCCTTCGTTCCTTCCCTTAGACCTGCTTGGCGGTGGATCCGCCCACCCACTCGGTCCGGCTCGGTCGGCTCGGTCCCCGGGCGGGGGCTCGAGACGCTGGCGGTGGAGTGGCTGGGTGATCTCGATCCGGTGGACACTGGCGACGACGGCGAGATCCGTTGGCGATCCGGGCGGAGAAACGGGCCTTGCCTGAATCTGATAGCTCAAGTAGTAACAAGTGCATCGCTACTAGTAACAAGTGCCTTACTAGTAGTAACAAGAAGCTACTAGAAACAAAGCTATTAGTGATGGCCTCCAAGCTACTAGCCTTCTTGCTCCGTTCGTAGCGATGCCGGGAGGCTCCTAGTAGTAAGGCCAGGAGCACCGAGTAGCTTCTTGTTCCTCATAGCGAAGGCCTCCAACCTAATAGCAAAGGAGAAACAAGAGTCTGAAAGAAAACTCTCTGTTGGCCAAAGTGTACCAACGAGACTGTCATTGTCTTCGTAGCGGGACAGTAATTATGTGCACACGCACACACACATATATATACACACAGTATTACACTGCAGTGCTAGTGCAAAAAGACATATACTCTTAGCATTATGATATTTCTATTTCTGCACATGAGTTGGATCCAACTGCATTTCATTTAACTCAGCACCGCTTGGATGTGGCGTTGCAAAAGAGACAGAGATCAAGCAGAGCTCGGAAAGAAAACGGACGCCTTTGGCTTGATCGTCACTGCAGGACCTGGGAACGTTGCGAATTCAGGATGGGCGGCACCTATAGAGATTACCTGGTTGTTTGGAGGGTGCAAATGAAGCTTTCTGTATCTGTGTTTGGCTTTCAAACATGTTGCTAAGTGGCACAGGGACAAATGACAACATCGAATGCGTGTGTTCCAATCACATCGGTATAAGTTAAGGGTCGCTGTAAGGACGCACTGATACGCCACTCTTCAGAAGACATGCTAGCAAAAAGCGGAGTATTCTAATGCAAGAGTGTAAAGGTCTTGAAAAAAGAAAAAGAGCGAGAGAAAGAAAGAGAAAGGAAAATAGACCGACGAAAGAAACAGAAAGAAAACATGCAAAGGATCATGTAAGAAATCTTGCAAGAAAAACACGAAAGAGTCATATGTTGAAATCAGAATGTTCTTTCGATCCCTTCATCTGATTTCATCTGATGAAACGATTTCCTCTCACTCGTTAAGCTCTCCCAACTTGGTCGGCTCCGTGGCAGACTCTGCCTGAGGCGGAGCGGCGCAGTGGCGGCACCAGTGTGAACTGGAGATCCGAGACCATCAAAGGCCTTGACATTGGGAAGAGCCTATTCAAATAAAGGGTCTCATCGTTGAGTACTTCTTTGAAGTGAAAGAAGCGCGAAGCATGAGAAAGAACGAAAGAAAACAAGCATGAATGAATGAACGAAGGAAGGAAGGAGCGTGAAGCGTAAAAAGGGGCACGCCCAACACCGTCCAACGTTCGCCTCAGGCAGGTTTCGCTCGAGCCTTCTTCTGGCCTGCGGCAACTTTGCCGGTTCAAAAAAGGAAGAAAACAACTTTCTCCTAGTAGCTTCTTGCTCCTAGTAGCGATGCCAGGAGCCCCTAGTAGCTTCTTGCTCCTAGTAGCGATGCCAGGAGCCCCTAGTAGCGTCCTTGCTC